AATTTTTATGATTAAAATATTACTTACTATCATAATTTATTACACCCGTTTCACCAATGAAATCAATTTTGATTAAAAAAGTTATCACAAATATTTATGCTCACTTTAATTGGAACTGCCTTCATTTTCTCTTAGTAAAAAATATAAAATTTCATTTTACTAAGAGTTATCTTTCAGTACAATATCATTGAAAAACTTGGTCCGCATCACTCAAATCACTATGGAAGACATCAAAATGCGATTTAAATACTTATTCATATCATAATGGTTACCAGTATTTTGATAGAAAGATAACGAAAAGTTCATTATAACCACCATGTGCTGAGAGAACCGTTTCTTTGTTTATCTACGTTTAAATTTAAGACATTTTAACCTCGTGGGAAAAGTAAAGAACTTAATTTAGTAGTTCTTACTAATATTTTTCTTATTCAAAATTTATGTTTTTTGTATAGTACCTACACAAAATCAACCAATATTCGCTAAAGCCATCTAAGGCAATCAATTAAAGTTGATTTACTCAGTAAAGCAACTCGTTTACATAATTCTTACAGGAAATATATTTCCTTTTAAATGTTAGAATTTATAAATATCAATGTTAAGTGAACTATAAAACTTATACGAAATTCTAACACTAATTTCATAAATTCATTTATAACTCGAACAGAATGGTCTCCATTCACAACCAAACTAATCAGGTTATGGCGCACCTTATTTTTTTTTAAGTTTTTAATCTAAATATTTTAACTCAGATTTTTAATGTCAACGTGACAATAAAAATCGTTTTCAAAATAGGGAATTCGCAAAATTATTTTCATGTATTTTTCATGCGAACATTATTTATATACCAAAGCTAATTTATTTATGCGAGCACTGTTTATATTTCCCAGCTAAGTTATGCAACAAAACATCCACCTTCCACGTTTCTTCATGGCACTAACGAAGTCGATCGAGTTAACCGCACCGTACCAGTTAAATCTGGTTAATTTCGAATGACGCATTCTTTCAAACGATTTTCGCAGCGATATGCATCCGCTGCGAAAATCGTAGCGGTTGCATGCCAGCGGTAATTTCGCTGCCCCCCCATTATTTTTACCAATCTATTGGAAATAGCCGTGGTAGGTCAGGGGCTAAGAGATCGCCGCAAATTTTACGGTGCGCGAGCAACCCGGATTGCTTCGATCGACGCTAGCACCAATGAAATTGTTAATTGCAATTTTAAGTACTGATTTACTACGTGCTCGGCGGTGAAGAAAAACTTCGTGAGGAAATATAACATATTTGGGAAATAAGATTAAACACTTGATATGTGAAATTCGCCAACACGTATTGGGGCAGCGCGCCCGAGACATTTCCTTGACCTGAAACGCTCTCAGAAATGAGACGAGTCTTGTGCCCAACGGTGGGACGTTTAATTTTTACTTAACTCGCTGTATGTAATCATGAAATAAAAACTAATTATTTCTAGTTTGCAACAAATGCATATTTTTATTGCGTAAACTACATTTTCATGCACGTTTTCTTCATCTTAATTTAATTATGTACTCCGCATTAATTAGTGATAATTTCTTAACTACCCGCTAAAAAATTTAACGTTTTCAAAAAAAGGGAAGTTATTGGTTTCACTCCGATTTTAGAAAACCGAGTTTTCATCAGATCTCGACGTTTTGAGATCCCAGGAAGATATTCTGACTAATTTCACGTGATGTACGGATGTGTGTGTGTGTATGTAACTATGTAAACCTTTCATAACTTTTGAACGTCTTGATCTATTGAGATGCGGTTTCCGACGGCGTGCCAAAGATCACAATGTGAAATAAATTTGGTGATAATATGAACTGATTCGGATGAGTAGATTTTAAGAAATCTCAAAAATAAAATTTTTAATTTTAATGGTTTTAATCATATAAGAAACATAGTTATAAATCATGTAATAATTGGTCCATTTAAGCTTACAGTCTGATTAAAAATTAAATTTTCATCGCGGTAAATCGTATTTTATTTATTATAATAATTTAAAAAAAATGCGTTAAAATAATTCCAGGAACTTATCTGAAGTAAAATTACAGGCTATTTATAGTAACAGGGAGGTTCGAAGGCTCCAAAAATACTCACAAAGCCGTTTCGAAACCGCAGGTAAACATAAACACGTCCTCGCTTCGACTTGCGACACTGCGTGTAACAATGTTTGGAAACGCACCTCTGCTTACTAAGGACCTTGCAAAGTTGGCGAAAAAACCGCATATTATTTTCCTTCTCCAGTAAACAAAAATGTTTATTTATTTAGCATAATTACTGCACCTCATATTTAGGAGCAGGGAAGACAGCTGAATTATAACTTAAAAACCTTCTAAGAAATTAGAGAAATCAGGCCCGCCAGAAAAACATATTATGAAGATTACGTTCTACAATTCTTAATAAATGATTACGTTTTAAAAAATCTCAAAATATAATTTCTAGATAAAAAAGACGGTCAATCCTTGAAACAACGGCGACGCATTGAATACAAAACACGGAGCGATGAAGATACGAAGCCTAAATTGTAATGATTGAGGAAAATTTCGTTCGAAAACGAAATCATTTCCACCTTATTAATTTACAAATAACTGTGCACTTAAAAAATGTAGGTAGGTGGATCGTCTAGCGGCGTTGTAAGGACACCCATTACCCCATATCTTCCCGTGGGTGTCGTAAGAGGCGACAGAGGGAGACAGGCAGGAGATGGATAGCAGCGTCTTCCTAATAACGACTAAATATAAAAAACTGCAGTTGCCAACCCGCTTGCCAAACGTGGCAACTAACGCAAATATACCCCTTATGGGACAATCTATGGGGAAGCCTACGTTCAACAGTGGACTTTAATAGGCTGTTACGGTAACGGATGTATCGGCAGTTAATTATTTCTCCTACAAGGAAATAATATTAAAAAATATTATAAAATGAGGCAATCATCTCAATTTTAGGGGTGTTTTGTTAGAATTTTTAATTTTATATAAATCTGTAAGTAACGTAAAAACAAACCAGTTTTAGCCGCCATTGTGCCAGTTTTTAAAAATCCCTAACTTTTCATTTAATATGATTTTATCAAAGGTATATATATATATATATATATATATATATATATATATATATATATATATATATATATATATATATATATTATATATTTGTATATTTATTGCAATGCGAATAGTTCATTTAAACTTTAATGGTCTTATTATAAAACATAGTTAAAACAGTCTAAAATCTAAATAGTTTAAAAAGGATGAACCGATCAAATCCTATGCTTGCTTTACATTTTAGTTCCACGGAACTTTTTTAATAAAACATGCTAAAACTAAGGCATTTTATAAACATTTTTTGTTATAGTATGTTTAAATTTTTTCATAATTTTAGATTTTCGTTTTTACATTTTATAATTGGACCAGGTTGCCAAAGGATGTTAAAAAATCCATTTCAACAATGCATCCATTCATAATAGTCCACTGTTGAACTTAGCAAATGAATTGTCTTATAGGAGATTTTACCATGCTTACCCCGCTTGGCAGGCGTATTGGTAATCCCAGTTTTTTAGTACATTGAGTTGTTATGAGGAAGTGTCTTACAACACCCACGGGCATATATAGAGTAGCGGATATCTTATACAGCCACTGCACGGTTCTTTGGTTCTTCTCAATTGAATTTATTTGCCGTAACATGAAATATGAAAACAGCTAAAGGTCCTTCGGGTCTTTAACAGCGTTCCGTCACCAAACTGGAATAACTTTATATAAAAGGTAAAATATTTATTCAATATATTATTAGAGGTCTCAATTTTTTCCGATATTACTTTTAATAGATACTATTATAACCCTGGAACTAAATGGCGTTTAGAACTTGAGAATGAACTTGTGAACCTTTAACTAAAATCATTTACAGCGAACCGCACACTTAAAATATAACTTATTTACTGTTAGGTGTTCGAAAATGAGAAACACAATTTAGTGATGATGATTATTTTTAATTTCAACGTGTTTACGGGCATTATGTTAGTCTATAACATTAAGTCAGAGCGTTAAACGCTTACTAATCAAAGTTTGTTAAAACTATTATCACTTTGAAAGTATCTAATGAGCACGTTTCATTAATTAATACTGTCAACTTATTCGTTACCGTTCAGATACGTGGCGATTAAATTAATAAATTTGGACATAATTACTTTTACTTATTATCCACAATAATATTATTCTTCGTTACAATAATATTATTTGTATGATACGTAATATCTTATGAGCGATTGTAAGGGAAGACATACTTTGAAAATGGAAAGAATGGAACAAGTCTCAAGTTGTTTACTTTCCGTGAAAAAGAAAGTTATGTTTGTATTAGCGTGTAACAGAATCCTATCATCGATGAATGCATCCAATGGCGAATGGCTGAAGGCAGAACTGACGGCATTATTTTCGTTATTACCCAACAAGTTCGCGGCGAATTCATATTGGTGTATTATTGGCTTTTTTGTTTCGCACCAGTCGCGAGTGAATAATGCTCGAACAAAAGAATCAAACATACGCGTCGAATCGAGAGCCACTTTTCACTGTGACATCGATATGGGATGTTTAAATGTACCTACAATACTAAACACTACAATACTACGAAAAAGAAACATATGATTTTGTCGTTTTGCAGATAGACGATGAATTTTTCGCATTGAAACTCAATATTTACAAATACCGCCGAAGCTGTTCACCTTAGCAGTATCGCTTCGTTTGGAGTGTAGTTTCAACCTATTGAAGGAAATCGTTGAGTTCGAGCGAGACGCGGCTGTATATATCTGCAAAGTTAATGGTATGGGCTCGTTTTGCGGACCGCTGCGCCGATCGTGCGTTCGTCCTCAAGAAGGTGCGACTGTGCAGACTTTTTGGAAAGTGTTCCCGGCAGCCGATCGACTTCGAACATAATTTCGCAGATGCAAATAACAATCGCAGCAGCTGTTAAAAATAAATAAAAATATAATATGTAGCATGTACATACACTTACCCGTTGAAATACTTCAGAGATCCGAGTCGCCGTGGATTCCTTCGCGTTGTCTCTTGCCAAGAGAGCAGTCCGGTTTTGCATTCACGTACCGAAGCACGATCACACTGCGTGAGAGAAAGGGCGCGCGACTCGCTCACAAGTGTACACAATCGCGTGTTGCGGCTCTGCAGTATAGTGCGGGAGTGGCGTCGCGAAAGCGTGTTGGCGGGCGCGGGTCTCAGCTGGAACTGAAGGCTGCGCGGAGCGGGGGCCGCTTTATGTTGCGTGCGCGCACCCGCCGCAGCGGCCGCTGCAGCCTGCGCCGCAGCCCGCGGCCGTCCGTCTCCGCACGCCTCCGCTCGTGGACGTGGAGACGCTCTTCTTCACGTCGCTGCACATTGTACGCAACGGCAGAAGATTTTCTAAGACTTTGATGATAGTTCCAGAAGACAGGGGTAGTATATATCAGATCCTCCAAAACGGTACAGTAATGTTTCAAAATCAGAATACACTATTCTTACAAATCATTTTATTTGCAAAAACCCCAAACACTTTTGAAATGAGTGTGATTGGTAAGTAACTTACGTGTTTTAAAAGAACTCGGGTGGTAAGCGAGCCCACAGTTCACTTTATGGTTACAGGATACTGTCACCATAGATATCTACATCTATTTTCGATTAAGAATCAAAATCAAAATGCGTTTCCAACCTTGAGGACTAAATGGAATACCTCCATATTAGTAAAAAGTGCTAGTGCTACGAGTACCTACAACTATGATATAGCTGCAGCGTGATTCTACCACGTATAAGATGATATTAAGAAGGCTTTTACATCTTAATCGAACATGGAGGTCACGATCGGAATGCTTGTTGTGCATAGAGATATACCCCCTTGGTCATATACCACTTACAACTAAACCTGAGAGGATAAAATACAGGCTAAGCAGTGCGACTTTGGAATTGATAGGCATTTAACGGTTACCTGCCACAAATCGTTGATTAATACAACTAAATGTGAACTTAACACCCCTGTATACTATCGTTAAAATTCAAGAAGACAAAGAAAACTTAATTTTTTTTGCTAAATAACAAAATTCACAACACAATATTGTCCAAGACGCTAAGATCCTCTACAACTCATCTAACTGCACCAATTCAACAGTAAACGCTAAACTTTATTGTTTATTTATAAGCGCAACCAACTAAAACAAATGTTGAAAACGGCAAAACCATTTAAAAGGTTTTAAGCTGAATTTTTAAGACTACGATAATTCCAGAAGACATAGGATATTAAACCCGTCCAAAACAATAGAATAATTCTTTTCAAACGATGTAAACATTTATTGAAATGATTGATGATGAATAGCTTATTTGTATTTTTATTTATTAAGTTAAAATATAGTATATAGATTGCACACTTTGGTAACACATTTAGTTATTCTTATATATCTTTTATACTATTATATAAAAGATATATATACACACATTTTTTTTTTTTATATATATATATATATATATATATCTTATTTTATATTTTTCTAATGATTCTCAGGCCTTGACTGACTACTCCCACCCGAAGGTGAGTGGTGAGTTTAACAAAAGCTTATTAATGTATTCCTTCAAGTCACCCATATTTCAATCGGATATAAAAACATCCTTGCAATGAATTCCACTCCTTTGCTGATGCATGACCAACGACTTTCAACCGTTTGGTAAAATATATTTGAATTTTTCAAGTTTAGATACTGGGATCTAGTTTTGGATTGTAACACATTGTGAACGATATATCCAAGTATTCGATTTCAGACGCAATAGACAATAGCAATGACCTATCCGAGTATGTAGTACACAGGACAGCGAAAGGGTCAATACACTACGGTTTTAGATTTATAGCATACTCGTCCGAGAAGAAATTATTCTCAATGTTTGCGGCACCATTCCTTAGATCCTGTCTCCAATAGTAAATGATCCCTTTAACCGAATCCTGTATTGCAAAGACAACACTATTGGTTTCCCCAAAAAGGTAACTGGTGGAAAAAGCGGTGTATACAAAAATCTTAAATATCTGATAAATCCTTGTAGAACCTGTCGTGGAGCTCTTTCTTCTTTCACATGTTCTCCTAGTAGAAGTTCTGTACTTTCGGGTCTTTGCTATTATACGTTGGACAAGTATCAAGTGGTAGACTCTTTGTTACATCATTTATAATGAATTTCGCACAAAATAGATTAACTCATCTCTTCTTCTTTTTCACTCATCATTATCATAATGACAACCCTTCGCAAGTTTACTAATGAACATAGATCTCCTTAAACGAATGTCAGTGCTGACCTACATGCATCCATCGACTTCCTGCATGACTGACTAGGATGTAACCGTCCATCTAGTGAGAAGTCACCCTAATTTTCCCATCGGTTATCATTTTTTCGCCCTATATAGCCGACCTATTATCACTTTCGCTAACAGATCCGTTGATCTTTGTCGGTCACTCTGACCCTATAGCATGCTGAGTAATTTTCCGCATTCTCATACGGCCAAACATATGTCAGATCCATATGACATAACTGCCAACATGCGCTGGCTGTACTCTTGTAATTTCAGGTTTAAGTATCAGGTGATAAGAATATGCGTGCGCGAAAGTGACCATATCGTTGGCAAATGGAAGGTGAGTGATGTATTCGCCATTGATGTTAATACTGTATAATTTTAGGCCGTTAGCTTGAAAACGTATTTCAATGCGGCGGTAACGAGTTTTGAGTGTATAACTTCAACCTGTCTTATTCCTCTCGGGTTCTGTAGTCGAGTAGCTTTACTGAAACAAAATCAGTACTTCTATATTTCACAATCTACCTGGCACTAGGAAGGGGACGTAAGCGCCGCCAAAATTTCGAAGGAGCTATAGTCGATGCATTCTATAATGACACATTTATTTATAGCATCGTGTTCAGCTCGAGGGCCCTTTTTGTCTTTGAATGGGCCTGAGGCTTATGCTATTTAATACCTTTCTGTAGTTTACGTAGGCGGCAGAGAAGTTCTGACGGTTGCTTACAGCCACTTTGACATACAGTATCAGCGTAAATCGACACCCGATTTGTGGTAAATTTCAAGTAATTTTCGGCCACAAAATGGATATCGGTTTGTATATTATAGTTGGATACTTTAAAGCATGATATATCATAAAAGTACCAGTTACCTGTTTTTCGGGAACCAAATGCCCAAGCCCAAGTGGTGTCAGCCAACATAGGGCTTCTAACGATGAGGTCCAAGCATAGAATACTTACAGCCCATCAGTTTATTCGTTATTTCTAGCTAGGACGACTTATATTCGTCCCAAGAAACGCCATTTTTATCACATTATTGCACGGCCTGAAACGTATCACTTCGCCGATAAAAGCCCTTACCTCTGGGATGTGGTCTTAAATCATTGTGAAATAGCGTCACTGTCTAATAGCGATACTAGATCGCTTCCTGCTAAAATTTTAGCGCAAATTGTACAGCAAATTACTAATTCAGCGCTAAAGAAAATTTTGTCCATCCCAGTAAAGTTCCTATTGGTTAATCGGTTTTGCACTGACATCAACCTTCGCTGCATATCAACGGGATTAAGAGGATCCTCTCGCACATCCACTTGGCGGCTCCTCTACGAGAGATGACAACTACACTGCCTATTCCTTCTTAGGCAATTCGCACCAAAACCCAAGACGCGCCTTTCTGCACTTCCTTAATCACAACCTGCGTTATGATTTCCATTACAAGGAGAGCATGAGTTCAGGAAAATAACTCTCCGACCCCGAGAAATGGAACTGGTTTATGAATCTATGGCTCCGCCGCCGGCCATGTTTTGACCGCGGACGGTAGAGAGAGCCATGTCTGGTAATACCGACTCTCTACCACATCTACGGCCCCACCACTACCGATGCGGTAGTGCGGCAGTGTGGAGTATAGGGCGAATGGCGCATTGTCAATCTAATACTTCTCCACCCCCGCGACTCCATCTCAGCTACGGTAGCAGGAGAGAGAACCCATTTAAAAATACAAGTATTATTTAGTTTAATTGACATTAACAATATAAGCCGAAAAAAAAGGTAACGGGTTATATATAAATATAGTTACTACATAAAATCCCTATTTCAAGAAGGTACTCTTCTTAGAGTACTTTCATATCTTAAATAATCAACATTTAAAATTAGATAGCTGTTTTGAATATAAAGATAAACAAACACCAACTCATTACTTTACAGAATTAAATGCTAAACGATAAGCAAAAAAGGTTCACGGTGCTTAAAGTAAAAAAAATCTTTATAGTGTTGACGGCGACTTTATTTCAGTTTGTTAATTAGAATAGAAAGAAAAGGAAGTACACTTTTAATAAAACGTAAGTACTAGAGGGGTGTCCTATATAAATTTTATGAAAAGCATCTGTCTGTCAAGATTTTAATACGATAGATATTCCAATTGTTGCCTTTGTTGTTTTGAATTTAAATTTGCAATTTTCCTTAGGATACGCAAAATGGTAATAATGAAAGTATTAATAACAAGTAGTAAAATTAAAAATTTTGTACAACCGGCTTCAATATAAATAAAATGAGAACATCGAACAATCGAAGTCAATTAAATAAGCATTATTAAGGGGAAATATAACCTCAAATAGCTTAGCAAGATCCTCCGTTATGCCGAAAATATTGCAGCTTTAATTTTGAAATAAATATATGGTAAAGTTGAAGATTAACGTTAAGGACTATGTTAGACGAAAACACGATTTCGTAAAATTTTCTCGATAGAAAAAAAATCCAAAGTTACCTCCAAAATAAACAATAAACCGCTGTTATTCATAAAATACTTTAAATAACATCATGAAACTTTGCATACTAACTGAACTAACTATAAAGCAGTGCTTATGTTATTTACTTTTTTTTTAAATACCATTATTTTCACTGTAAAAAGAAATTACCTAAACTATCGGCTTCTTGAAGCTTGATTTCTGACGCGCGGGGAAGTGGGGGCGAAATTAGAATTTGAGCTGACTTACTATATCCTCTTAAGGATAACTCAAAAACTACTGGTCTGATCTGGATCTAATTTATGTACATAAATCTTCTCTCGGCTCTTCGGTTTTCATCTCTCACCGTACAATCGTAGCAGCATTATGAGCTAATATTGATATTTTACAATACAGACATTTCAATGAAATAATCCTGTGAGAATGCTGAGAGTGGAAAATGAGTGATGAAAACCGAAGGTCATATTTTCAAGAGCATTCCATCTTATTCCACTAGGTAAAAGCAAAAAATTCAATGAAATAATCGGTATTCTCACATGTCATAATATATTTTAACTTCGTTAAATGCTTATAAATAGTGTTTCGCTAAGCTTACGTCATTTATAAATTGACGTTTGTAACCTCCAACCACAACATATCCCTTCCGTGAATCATGCA